GACAGCCTGACCGCGACAGTGGTGAAGAGCGAGAGCCCAAGAAGCGACGGCTCTTCCGCTCCTCGTGAAACCCTTTTGCTTCTCAGGTGCCATGTCCTGTGTGTAAGCTACTGAGCTACTGTAGCTATCATCACTGGGTTGCTCAAGGAATGCAACTGATAGGCGTTTCATCACTCGAATGGTGAGTTGTAGTCGGCCTGAGTCTTGTTACAGGGGTTTGCGTCTTCAGCAGTTTCCACAATGTCGCAGAGTACAGGTGTAACTTTGGCACGTAGTCCACCGAAAACTTGGCAAGGCACGGTTAGCATAGTCCCGTCTTCAGGGAAAGCAAACAGTCCAAACCGACTGCTTGCGCGGGGAAAGACATTGAGGAAAGCTCTACTGGTGCAAAAAAGGCGCCTTGACAGACGTGTCCCATCACATTCTCGCAGTTCTCGAAGATTGCAGCGTCTGCTCGTCTTCGGTAGTATTCCCAACCAGTCCTTGAAATCGTTGTGCTGGTTATAAGTAAGCCAAATAGAAGATTGGCATGTCGGATACACCTATAGCCTAAATTATAGTTCAACTTTTGGTTCAACCCATTCTTATATGTAATTAAGAACCTACAAGGTCACACAAAACAGAATTACCATAGAAACTGTATAGACAGGCCCCAGGTAATTGGAAGTTTACTTGCAAGTGAACTTGTGTTGTCAGCTTCAGCCCTGGTACAACTTCTGCATCAGAGCGAGAGACATTGAACAATACAGCGAAGGATTTGTCGAGATTTTGGTTTGCAGATAGCATGTTTCCAGAAAACAACTCTGGGTGGCCGCCGCCGGAAGCAATCAGCTCTATGAATACCGCAGAATACTCTGCAATAGCCTATAGAAATTGCGGAGAAGCCCTATAGAACCCTACCCAAAACCCTAAACCCCATAGAACCCCGTTTTAGCTTTCCTCAGGTCTGCTCCAGGCGGCCCGCTTTGCCAGCCGGACGAGCGCAGTCCGGGCGAGCGCGCTGGCGGTGACAGCCGGCTCAGGCGGTGGGTGTTGAGGGTTTAAATAGGGTTTAGGGTTTAGGGTTGTGTCGTGGAAGGCTAAGGGTTTGTAGGGCTGTTCTCGTCTATTCAGGGTGCACAGGGTGTGCAGATTTGTTTCGTGGTGTTTTTTAATTTGTTGAGTGTTCAGGGTCTGTTTGCTTGGTTTGTTGGGTGTTTAATGTCATGTGCTTTTGGGTGGTTTGTGTTTGTGTGTTGGCTGGTGGCGCATGTGTCTCAATCGGTTGTTTAGTGTGCTGACTCGGTTCGCTCGTTTTCTTTATGTGCTTGGCGTGTTATTGGTTGGTTGCTGTTCCTTCTAGAGTACCTTAATTAAACCCCAAACCCGTAAGGAATCACCTTCCAAGCCCCGTTGTAAGGATCCTGCTGCGACCTGCTAAAAACCCACTGAGTAGCCCTGCGAGCTTGATGCACGTGAGGTTGCAAGGTAGAGACGCCAATCATTCTAATAGGGTTTCCGGGACATATTACCCCATAGTTCCCCAATACTGCAAGGAGATGAAGGGGATGTAGGGCTTTTGGGGGAGAATGTGATCAAGTATAACTACAACTATAGGGCGATATCACCCTAAACCCAAAACCCCAAACCATAAACAGTAAACCCCATACCCTAAACCCTAAACCCTACTGATCATATATATATATATTTATTTATTTACATACATATATACATATATGTATGCATGCCTCTACCGGCAGAGTTTGCAGTTTCGGACAAAGGAGCTTGGAGCTTCCAGGTGCCCCGGGAGGCTCCAAGATTCCTCAAGGATCCGATGCTATCGATTCCTTATTTCGGAGCCTCCCATCTGTAGAGCAGCCATGGTAGATACCCTGAAACATAGCACACCTGCTTCGAGTGTGATACCACAGGCCTTGCTTGCAGACATCTCGGCCACCCTTGAATATGGTGTTTCGGGTTGAAGGGGTTGCGATTTCTCCCGGTTTGCAAATAAGAACCACTTAGCGTGGCAGCCGCAGCAGCAGTAGCAGACAGCAGGAGTTGTAGTGGCGGTTCTTACCTGTCGTAAGAATATGTAGCTATGCAGATATGTTGAAATGTTGCCTGAGAATGCAGACTACCAGTGATACAAGTGCCGATATCTGAATAAAGTTGAGGTACTGTAGGGTAGTATTATCTTTCTGTAGTGTTCGCTCCATTTTCATGAACCCTTAACTCTACATAACTCCTAGACCGCACCCCCAATCACTTGCACTGAAATCCCTGAGCCCCAAGTCCTAAAACCTCTATACCCTATACCCCAAAGTCTCAAACCGTAAACCCTAAACTTGTTAAGCCCTGAACTCAAAAGCCCTAAACTCTAGCTTTAGGCAGGGCTGTTCAGGTAAAGACCTGGCGGAGTTGGGAGTCGAACCTGGGGTTTTGGGGGGGGGGGGGGGGGTAAGTGCGTCCCGTGATGGAGTTTATAGGGTTAAAGGTCGGGTTTAGGGTTAAAGGTCGAGTTTGGGGTCAAAGGTCGAGTTTAGGGTTTTTTAGGGTTAGAGTTTTAGAGTTTAGCGTTAAAGGTTGAAGGTTGGACCGTTGGAGGGTTTTATGT